CGCACTGTCAACTCGGGAAACACAAAAGCTAGGCGGCTGAAATTTTGGTATAGTGTTCCACGCCAACTGGTGACGCGGCAAATTTAAATTCAGCCTTCCCGTTCCCGCGGGTAACTTGTACGGCCCCGTGAAAGTTTTTTACGGGTAAATTAATATCTCAGGGACCACGGAGTCTAGGAGGCTGAAATTTTATGGTAATGACTCCCTGCCCACGCTCAACCTTGCCCATTCAAATTCAGCCTTCCCGTACTCGCGGGTAACTTGTACGGCCCCGTGAAAATTTTTTACGAGTAAATCAATATCTCAGGGACCACGGAGTCTAGGAGGCTGAAATTTAAAAGTAAAGACCCCTCCCCCCCCCCACGCTCAACCTTTCCCATTCAAATTCAGCGTTCCCGCACTCTCGGGTATCACCTATGGACTAGTGAAAATTTTGGCGGGTAAACTATTAACTCGGGAATCACGTAAAGATATTCACCTTTCAAGGTTTCGAATTCAGTTTTCATGCGCTGGTGCGTGAAATTTTTAACTGTTTTCCGGTGTCTGAACTATTTTTGCATAGACTAAAGTACGGAGCAGTGAAAATCATTAATAGGCAATCGTTCGATGGGCTAAATTGCACAAAACGCGTGATCGCACCGGCTAGTCTGGTGCGCGTTGCCATTTATTGCTTTTAGGGAAGGCGGAGACGCTTGAGCAGTCGTATTTCATTGCTTTCAACACAGTGGTATTAAGGAATTGGGAACGATCTCCCCTCCTCCCCGGTTTGAAATTTTGAGGAGTGCAGTGTACTGCATTCGAAAATCCATTCAGTTCTCATCAAACTTAAATATCTGGGCAGAAATGCCTTTTTAGAGGAGCAAGATGAATGAGACATGTCCCATCAAAGTTCATTTGAGAAGAAATATTAAATATTATCGAAGTGCACCACTGGTTTCTTTCAGGAAATAAGCTTGTGACCACGCAAGGAGGTATTGAATATCGTGGACGTCTCTCAACATTAGGCTTGACATGTGCCAATATTGACATTATCAATGATTCCGGTGTTATTGTTACGCAATATTTG